CCGCACACACACAGATAAAAAAAACATGATTATGTAATGTTGATTGCACACACATCTGCTACCAAGAGCAGATGGGGTACATTTATACATGCAAATGCAGGCGTTTTAGTTGCTGCTAGCAGTGTTCATCGAGTGTGTATCACAACATGACTTTCATTCTCTGTTGGGCTACTAAACGAGATCAAAAAGCTCTTTGTGATAATGGTTGCAATAGGTGAACTATTATAACACTAAAAACTGACCTGGAATTGTATATGTTCACATATAACACTAAAAAGAAGCCCCTGTTATAACACTAGTAACACCCAACCTGGTAATCTATATATGATCATAACAAATTACAACACAACAAAAAACTTCAAGATTAGTGTTTGCAAATTAAGAGGGAAATAATAACTTTACAATTAGTATTTGCAAATTAACATTCTCCGTTAATGCATAACTTTTACTCAAATCACTATAACTATTAACTCAAATGACATAACTTTTATTTAGAACTCATATGAAGTCTAAATTTTAAGAGCTTAAATTATTATAACATAAAATGAAAATTAAAGAGGATAAAAAGTCTAACTACATTGACGATGTGTCAACAATAAATTAGTGTATGAGTTTAATTTTATTCATAAAATTCTACTCTACTTTCAAATGAAGCCGATTATCATTTAAGCATTTTAACAAACACTTGATAGGTATAAGTGACTTATACATCATCTTTACACAGCACAAATAATACATTCAAGTAATAGGAACATCAGGTTGAGTAAGAGAGTTATCAAATAAAAGAACAGAAACAATTAGTAAGTGATAAGTCCGCATTTAGACACGCATTTGATGCGTGTTCGGGTCGGATTTTGATGATTTTCCTGGCTTTAAGGCGTTGCAAGTCTCAATTTTGTCTCAAGTTGTGTTTAGCAGGCGTTGGATCGAGTTTCATTGCATTTGGAGTTGATTTGAAGAAGTTAGAGTCCGGCAATCGGCGCTTGAGAGGCATTTGGGAAGGATTTGAGGGCATTCGAGAAAGATTAGGAAGATTTGGAGGCCACCGGGAGATTCACGACGAAATTATGGAGAAGAAAGAGCACTTGTATCGACCTCGTAGGCATTCGGGAGCTTTCGGAGCAAGAAACGAAGAAACACGATTAAAAAAAGGTCAGGCACGACCGTGCCTAGGGGAGGCACGATCGTGCCTGCTATAAGGATGAGACGCGGAGACACTGCCAGCCAGACACGATCGTGTCCGGGGCAGGCACGATCGTGTCTGCATCCGAAGCGCGCGTTTGTTCCGCAGGCACGATCCCTGGCACGATCGTGCCTGACATTGTGTCTGGCCCCGATTTGTCCTATTTCAGCTTGAATTCTCCTGTTTTCTATGAATAAGGCCTCCATACCCACTTTTGAGGGTTACGAACTTTGGAGAGAGGCCTAGGGACGAGTTTTAACTGCGTTTTTACGTTGTTTAATCCAAGAACCTGGGATTCTTTGTAAGTTCAATTCTTTAATTAATGACAATTTATTCTATTCATCCCAATTCTTTTGATTCGTCAATTATGAGGCGTGAGTAGTTTAATTAGGGATTTGGGGTTGATGAAGGGGTTAATCATGATGTATGGCTAGATTCTTGTTGGTTTAATTGCATGAATACCGTTTAATTTGTGTTTGAATAATTTAACTGATATCTCTTGTAACCTAGACTGCAGCTAGAATTACAATTGCATGTAGAATGAATTAAGAGAGATCTAATTTGTTCTAGGACACATTCACACACACTTAATCGTTCGCTAAGAGATTAGTAGTGATTAAGGGGCCGTAAGCTCGCTCGTTTTGGCAATAATTTAGGATCTTGTCGCATGAGAGATCAGCCTGGACTCCTAAATTATTGTACTCTTCGCCGCGAGAGCGGTAAGAACTTAGTAATGATTAGCTAGGCTCAATTAAATTAAATTCATGTAATTAGGCCTGTTCTGCCAGAAATCTGGTTAACCCCGGAATCAATTCATGTTCCCTTCGTCGTTAATTAAGGAAAACCAAATCTTTTTACCTGCTCCTTAGCATTAGTTTTATTTTAATGAATCAACCAATCTCGCACAATTGCACTTTCATTTTATTTTATTTCTTTTTAATCACCGAATTTAGTTAATCTTTAATTCCCCTTTGTCCGTCCCTGTGGAGACGATACTCGTACTTTCAACCACTTTACTACATCCTTTTTGAGTGCGAGAAAACTCACATCAGTAAGCATACTAGTGGCGGAAATAAACTGATCAAAAAAATTTGAAACACACCGATTATTTCAATATTATAGAAACTACATATTACCTATGTTTGAAATCCGGTAGATTCGCAATACACCTTCGCTGCAGTAAGTCGGATAGAATAGCAAGTAGAAAATTGCAAAGATCAGATTAGAAATACTGATTGAATCGTAATATGAGAGCAGCGAATAAAGATTCAACAAGGAGATCGAAGATGAAGAAAGAAATTGGTGGATGAAGATGTAAGGTCTAGAAGAGATCTACGGGTGACTATCTTAGGTGCGGATGAAGAATCCATTGAATACGAGAAAAGGTCAAAGATAGTTAAAATAACAAAAATGCCATTATGAATGACGGAAGATTGAAGGAAACGTGCGATGGAGATGGGCCTGGATGAGGGGATCAAACGGTGTAAATAACTTCTCATTTTTCAGCCTAAGATGGACTTCTCATGGGATCTTCTCTCTCTCTTTCTCATGGGACCTCTATATATAGAGAGAGGGAAGTTCATGTCAGGACCTCCAAAAATGAACCTCCGTACGGACCTCGACGTTTGGGTCCCTTCCCAGTGGAAGTTTTTGATGAAATTTTTTGAGCATGTTCTTCATCAAGTCTAGTTTACCCATACCAATATTCAGCTACGTATTCCATCGGGAAGGCAGTCAAATGATTTTTTGAAGTTAACTGCGCACTTTATATACATATAAAATGCAGTTAACTTCCAAAAATTATTTGATTGCCTTCCCGATAGAATGTTTAGCTGAAATTTGGTATAGGTAAACTAGACTTGATGAAGAACATGCTCAAAAAATTTCATCAACAAATTCCACCGAGAAGGGGCCCAAACGCCGAGATCCGTACGGAGGTCCGTTTTTGGAGGTCATGACAGGAACACTACTATATATATATATATATATATATATATATACATATATATATATATACATGTTGGATCTGGTGAGAAAGGACTCCCAGGAGAGAAATGAGAATGAATCTGGACCGTTGGATTGTATGATGTGAAATTGAACTGTGCATTTGGTAAAACTGAAATGTGCATTAAGTGAAATTGAAATGTGCAGAATAAAAGACTCAAAAAATGCCACCACGTCATAGTTTTATTCGGCACATTTCAGTTTCACCTAGTGCACATTTCAGCTTACCTTATATGTTGCACATTTCGATTCACCTAATGCACATTTCAGTTTCACTAAATGCACATTCAATTTCACAAATTACAATCTAACGGTTCAGATTTATTCTCATTTCTCTCCTAAGTTCATTTTCTCACTTGAACCTAATTCTATATATATATTAAATATAATTAAAATAAGGGCAAAGTTCAATCATATTTTGGGAAGGTTTTAATCACGCAATCTGGGATTAAATACGTTATATTTAGAAAATAAAACAGAATTGGATGGTCTTGTTAAGAACTTTATCTATCATTTGGTATTATATTGAGAAATTTCTATTGATTAAGGTTTTGATTGCAAGTGCTTGTGTTTAAATAAAAACACTTTTTTGGGAAAAAATGATTAGTAGTAAAAGTTGGTAGTGTTTAGTAAAATAAGTGATTTTTGTGTAATAGAAAAAGTAAAAAATAGATTCTAAACGAAAGTCGAGAAAAGTAAAAGTTGATAGTGTTTGGTAAAATAAGCGTTTTTTCTTAAAACAAAACCACAAGCACTTAATTTAAGAGTTTGCAAACAAGCCCTAAATTACAAATTGAACTCCCTTGACTGCATAGCCTCGTTCAAAACGCAGTGGCAACGCTTATGATATTTTCTGTTGAATTGAAATTTACTGGTCTGATTTAATCTGGTCTAAACTAATCTGATCTGGTTTGGTAATATATGATTTCTATGTATTTTATAATTATTGAGATCTAGTCTTGTCAGATTTGCCCCTCAAAACAGTCCAAAAAAAATTAATGGACTACAAGTCGTCGCAGGACATGGATTTCCGGAAATATAAACAACCAAAGGTGTGGAAAAAATAATGCTCTCGCACTATGATAAAATTTAGAATTTAGTTGGCGTTGCTCAGCCAATTAGCGCCCAAACCATTAGTCCATTAGAGATGTGACCAAATCACACTAAGATAGGTTGAACTTAACAAATAGTTATAGGATAATTTTAGTTGGATTGTTTTACCAAAATGAAAAGTATCAAAAGAAAAATTTTAGTTGGATTGTTTTACCAATTATCCCTCCGTCCCCTTTTAAATGTCTCATTTTAACATATTGGAATATAATGTCCCTATATAATTGTCTCATATCTTATTTGGTAAATTTTGTGTGGCTCAAAATCTTTATTACTTTATTCTTACTTTATCAATTAATATCAATCACACAAACTCACTTTTCTTAAAATTCATGCCACCTTTTTCCGGGACATTTAAAAGGGGACGGAGGGAGTAGTATATATAATATCACAAATCACATTTAACACATAATTGACAGAGTCCAATATGAGGGAGGTAATACATAATTGTGAGGTGTATTAAATGTGGTATTTTATCTCATCTCACCCTCTAATCTCTATAAGTAATTCATTTATACTCCTATATGTTTTGTTTTGTTTTGTTTTGAGCGTACGTGGGACAAGAGATATATTTTGTACTTAAAGCTATATTCCGATCCCTTCAAGAATAAGTGGGGGCGGGGCGTGATTGAGAACAAAAGTTGGTGAGTATTTGGTATATAAAGGTGGGTAGGGGCATTGGGGGACTTAAGAAGTTAGTCATGATAGATAACAATAAAGCATCAAAAGTTTAATTTCTCGTTCGGTGATATCCATATAACTAATTAATGGGAAGGCAACCTTGCTGTGATAAACTTGGAGTGAAGAAGGGGCCATGGACAGCTGAGGAAGACAGTAAGCTCATGGCCTTCATCCTCACCAATGGCCAATGCTGCTGGCGGGCCGTGCCGAAGCTTGCCGGCCTTCGCCGCTGCGGCAAGAGCTGCCGGCTCCGGTGGACTAACTACCTCCGCCCTGACCTCAAGAGAGGACTTCTAAGTGAAACTGAGGAGAAACTGGTCATTGATCTTCATGCTCTTCTTGGTAATAGGTGAGTTTATATATAGGCCCTATACAATTTATTACATTAATTTATATCAAACATTCATTTATTTGACAATTATAATCATTTCTTGGAGTGACTATAGTAACTCTTAGATACTACGATAGTACAATTGTATTTAATTTTACATTATAGTGATGTTACACTCATAATATAATTTTAATTATATTTTTATCCATTGGGTAAATTTCAGTAATATTTTAAGAGAAACTCTCTTTTTCATTTTGATATACGGAGTATTTTGTACTATTTTCTTTTATTTATATCTGCTTCAAAGTAGTTTCGATCAATATCCTCACTTCCTCAGTGACAGTGTTCTTTGACATAATTTAACTCATTCTACTATTCCAGAAATTAACTTCAAAATTTATACACCATTTTTCCAGAAATTAAATGAAAAATCAATTAGAGGGTATATATGTCAACTGTATTTAAGTCTGTCTTTTAATCATTTGTGTTAGCTTAGTGCAATAACTATACATATTCCATGTAGATAGTTTCTACTTTAAAAAACAAGCCACACGTTTATCATAATTACACAAATGAAAGATGGGATCATGGAATGAAACAAATGATGAAAACGCATGCATGCCTATTACCAGAGGCACGTGGCTTATTCATCAATCTAGTACTGGATTTTTAAGGCAATACCGGTATTCCGGTAAGGCTACATTCCTGAATCTAAATTTTAGGTTATTCGGATATGGCTGCAGTTTTACCGTTTTACGAGGAAGCGGTCGAGCTCAGTCGATTGTCGACTCACTCTCCTATACGGAGAGTCTAGAGTTTGCTACTTGTTTATACTACATTTATCAGAATTTTATTGTTCCTTGGATCTTAATAATGACTAATGAGTACAAAATATTATACTGACTTGAAGTTTCACCGAAAATTTCAAAATCATAGGAGTACGTGGTCCTTATTCGATATCATTGTTAGATACTTAGGCAGTACAAATTTTTTTGGCTTTACATTCTCTCTTTCTTATACTCGTAGTATCTATATGTTAAATGTCAACATCCGTGTCTGGGATGAGTTTTGAACATGCGACCTACTCATTAGGAGTGTCATAGTGATGTCATCGAACCACACGATGCTTGACACTTAGGCGGTATGAAATTAAAGTTCAATTTTCATGAGTAGTCCTAAGCAGGTTGCAAAATGAAGCGATATTGGAACTTCTTTTCCAAACGCTTGGAACTTAATTCAAATTTATTTATCCTTAAATTTAGGGCTTATGATTAGCCAATTTTCGAGACCCTTATTTACATTCTCAAGAGTTACAAAACGAAGATTATTGAACGTTACGTTTGGAACTTTTAACATTGATTTTTAAACTTTCATCATCCAAAAGAATATTTAAATAGTACGTAAACTAACTGTGGAGTATATAATTAGGGCTATTTCAAAGACCTGTATTACATTACATTAAAATCAAGAAAGTATTAAATGATAAAGCAAGAAAGTATATGTGTGGCAAGAAAATCAATGGTTCTTCGGTCAGTTCGCAAAGTGCTCGGAGTGGTGTGGCCTTAGTACTGAGACGTACGGAAGCTAGAGGAGATCTTTGTAGTCAATCTAAACTTTAAAAATAATTATAATCATAAAATGTTATTAAGACACATATTAACTGTTTTTTCAGAAAAACCACTCTACAAAATGCGCATATTAATTATTTATGGCAGGTTTCTAACTGCTTAGTTGCACCGAAAACTACGATAGGTGTGGTATATTACTCCGTATATATATTGGTGCTCAGACATTTTTTTGGAAAAATATTACTCCGTAATAAAATAAAACTATTTTACAAAATATGACTAATAGTTACTACAATGTACGTATTACGTAGTGTCATGATAACTTAAGTTTAAAAATTGAACATAAGTTACTATGATTCCATTACTAGAGAACTAGAGAATCACGAGTCACATTTTTATAAACAATCTTTTTTTAAGTCCTAAATACTTAATCATTTCATATTTAATTCTCATTACTATACTGCGTACACCCTAAGATTAATGGAGAAAGGTGTTGTTTTCTTAAAAAACAATGGCCCCAAAAATTTTGGTGATATATTTTCATTGTTTGCATGTAACTTGCTGTTCTTCTAAACGACTCAAAATGGTATTGAAAAGGGACAGCTTGCCAATACATAATTGTTAAATTCTTTTCTTTGGGAAAAAGGTTAAATATGACATCAACTTCGAAAGCAGTGTCGCTTTTGTTATTATAGACACGTTCAGAAATGCTTATAGCAAAACTAATCATCTCATACTCTGAATTTTAAATTTAATCTAGTGAGTTGTGCATTTATCCGTTTTCAATCACACAACTTTATATACTTCGTACATTTGGTATGAATTCAATCATGTTATTGTATCCACCCTTATATTCATCTCATATTTATCATATCTATGAAAGTTCTTTTGTCTGTGAATCCGATTCACAAATAAAATATGTCATATTTTGTCTTGTCTCTACAAAATTTGCATAGACATATTTTGTTTTGCACAAACATGGTGGGTATAAAAATGGGTATAAGAGTGAGTACAAACAACTTTTTGTAATGAATTTGTCTACACAAGGTAACTTACAACGGAATGTACTATTTCTTTCGGAAAAAGTAAAGATGACAATGAATTTTCGGGTCTATTTTTGGCAGATAATGCACATCCCGAATGAGAAGTCCCTAATATGAATAAATTTATACTATGTATATTAGAGTACCAATTTGCAACGGGATAAAATCATACGAGTACGGATTATAATTGAAACAGTAAATTAAATGTGTCTCATATCCACGCATCTTTGAATATGTATTTTGATATGGGGAGAAGAATGAACATGTTGTTAGTCAAATTAAAGATATTGTATATGTAGTATTTCGCTTTATTAAATCAGTAAAACAGAACAAGCTACAAATCCTTTGAGCTGAAGAAGTGGACCATCTTTGATCATTTGACCTTATAAATTAGCATGATCAATTCAAGGGTTGGTGAAAAGATAGAGACTTGGCTGCTCAGTGCTCACCTACATCGACGTGTTTACATTTTGTCTTTCCCTACCTACCCACCCTGCTGCTTCAAGTTAGCCTTCGACCAAGTCCGGGTGGTGACCGGCCAATATCATTGTCATTTTCAGTGCCCAACTTGCTTTTGCTTCTTCAACATGAACTATGACCGCATACTATCTCCATATTAAAAAATTCGAGTCATCATTGATATTGAATCAAATGTGATTACCCTACTATGAATCAAAATTATACAAATATTGTCACATATAATATGGGATAAACTTAATAGAACGGACTAAAAATACAAATATGGGTATAAAAAAATATGAGTATATGACAAAGGTAATGAGATGGATAGATTATTGTTTAGGTCCTACAAATTTTGTTAAAACAAACTGACTTTCGACTTACTACTATACATGGGCGGGGTGGGTGGGAGGGGCAAACCAGGTCCCCATCCACTCAAAATTTGAAACATACTTGTTATTTTAAAACTTTAAAGTCGTTTGACAATCCTATTTTTCAGCTTATCAACCCAATTTTGACCTGACACATAACTATTAGTTTCTTGCACTGAATCGTTTTATAATAAAAATAAGTAAGGTTGCAAATGCTTTTGTACTGATTTGACGTACTGTATGGAGTTGGTTAGAAAAGAAAACAGAATTGTCAGAGAGAGGATTGGGAGAGAAAGTGAGAGAGGGATAAATTATATGATAATTCTTATTATCCTACTCATTACTCTCCGTATCATATAAATACGAAGTATGTGTCTAATACATAAGCCATAATGGATTACAATTTATTCTTTGCAATATTTTAAAAAAAGTCCAAAAGAACTAGTAGTCCCAGCCCGACATCCATAGGCCCAGACCAGATTAATTAAACTTATTCCCGCTTCTGCTCGATACTCTTCCCTTCCGGACCGTTCATTACATTATCCCTCCCTTTATGGAATCCTTGTCCTCAAGGATACCAGATTCTTTTATCATTGTGAGGGAGTTGAAGACGCCATCATCATCGACTGTAGGGAGGTCTGTAGTGGTGATTGCTCGTGGACTGATGCAGCTCTTAAGTAAAGAGACATGGAAGACCGGGTGGATCTTGGCTTCCTCAGGTAAATCCAGTCGGTAAGCCACCTTCCCAACCCGTTCCAAAATTGTATAAGGCCCATAATAGCGTGCTGATAGTTTTTGATTCCTCCTGGAATGGACTGATTTCTGTCTGTAGGGCTGTAACTTCAGATACACCCTTTCCCCCACCCTGAATTCTCTGTCAACCCTATGCTTATCAGCATAATACTTCATCCTTTCACGTGCCAATTTAAGGTTCTCCTTTAACTCTTGCTGCATTCTCTGTTTCTGTGTTATGAGGTCCTTAACCTCAGTGTTAGTCAACGATGAATATGTAGGAATTGATAAGGTCGGTGGATGATACCCATATAAAGCCTCAAATGGGGTAGTCTTGAGGCTAGTATGGTAGTTGGTATTATACCAATACTCAGCCATAGATAACCAGTTGACCCATTGCTTAGGATTTTGGTGTGTCATTGCTCTCAGATAAGCTTCTAGGCATTGATTCAATCTCTCAGTCTGCCCGTCTGACTGAGGATGATAGGAGGAGGTATAACTCAAGTGTGTTCCCATTAGCTTGAACAATTCTTTCCAAAATCCACTCACAAATACCACATCTCTGTCAGTCAATATATCTAGGGGTTGGCCATGCAATTTAAATATATTATCCATAAACATCCTAGCCACTGTAGCAGCAGTATAAGGGTGTGAGAGGGGTATAAAGTGCCCAAATTTTGTCAATCTGTCAATTACTACCAGAATGACATTTCTCCCATGTGATTTAGGCAAGCCTTCAATAAAGTCCATACTAATATGGCTCCAAGCTTGATCGGGTATGGGTAGAGGCTGCAGAAGCCCAGGATAGGCTCCTCCATCAGGTTTAACTCTTGCACATGTCTCAC